GCAACTCATCGTCGGAGATGCCCACTGCGCCCGCGCCGTGGCCGGCGCTAGGGAGCAGCCCCGTGCGCCACAGCACGGTGACCTTGCGGCCAGCAGCGCGCAGCATCGCCGCCAGGCGCCCGCGCCGCCGCGCCAGCGCCTTCAGCCGCAGCTTGGTCTGCCGTCGCTGGATCCTGCCTCCTACAAGGTCACGCCCTAGATTGCGAGCCCAGTGTAGCAGCTGCAAGCCGCGGGATCCCGCATGCTTCCTGCGCTCTGCGGCTAGGCCCTTGGACGAGGTCACATAGCCAGACTTGGCGGGCTGCGCGAGGATGCCCAATTGCTTGGCCTCCTCGCGGAAGCGCGTGACCGCGACCCACAAGGCGCTGACGTTGCTGCCCGCGGTCCTGACCCACTGAAGGGTAACGTCGTCGACGAGGGCCCTGGGAGTGACGCCCATGTAGCGCGCCCGCTCCAGCGTGCGGTGCATCGGCACCGACGCGAGCGCGCGCGCGTTCGTGCATCCAGCCAGCACCCTTTGGTAGGACACAACAACCTCGTAGGGCGCCGAGCCGAATGCTTGCAGCCGCCTGGGCTGCCTGTAGAGCTCCGCCAAAAGCCAGACCAGCGGCAGCGGCATCTTGAGCAGCCGCGCCTCTGAATTAGGGCCTCGGGGATCACCGTCTCAAAGAACTCCCAGGCGTCCAGGAGCACGGTGACCACCTGCTCCTCCAACGCGACCGCTGCCTCGGTCTCGAGGTTCAGGTCGAACGCTGCAGAAGACGACGACCTGCCCGCGCCGAGCCGCCATGTCGACGCTGGGGTGCTGCGTGAGCCAGCCATTGGAGATGTCCGCCCGCGCCCTTGACCACCAGCGCACCAGATAATGCATGAGCGTGATGAGGCGGCACCCTGCAGAGGGCTTGGGCAGCCGAGCCGGCGCATGGCGTGCCACAGGTGGCCCTCAGGCCACGCGCCCAACTTCTCCATGCGCATGAAGAGCTGCGCGTGAACATAAGTGCCGTCCTCGGACGGAACAGACGGGGCACGCATGCCTATCTTGGCAGGCCCCATCGCCGTGCCCGTGGGGAATGAGAGCGCAGCCCTCTTCATCTGGTCGACGGTGAGTTCGGGCAGCGCGTCCCACTCCTCAATGTCCGCAGGCCTGGGCGCCTGCGGCAGCCCATGGAACCGCCGCACCTTTGCCCGCGGCTGCACCTCCCGATCGCGCGCCAGGTGCGGGCTCGCGTCCTGCTGCTGGCTATGCCAGGCAGTGACCACCTCCTGCAAGTCTCTGGCCTTTGAGCGCCGGTGGGCGCGGCCAGCTCTGTGGGAGAATGACTCGTTGGCCCATTTGGTCCACTCATTTTGTTGCGCCGCGAGGGCCGCTTCATACTGACCGTTAGCGCACTCCGCGACCCTCGCCGCCTGGCCCGCGAAGCCGGCCTCCGCGAACATCAGCATCCGCTGGCCGAAGGAGTCCTGCACCCAGTGCGGCAGCAGCGCCAGCGTGCCGCGGCTGGCGATGACCTTGTCGAGGTACGCCGCCGCCTCCAGCAGGAACCCCGCCAACTTGTCAAACTGGGTATCGAACGGCGGGCAGAGGAGGCTGGCGCCGTGGAGTTGGCGGACCGCTTTGGCGACGTACGCCCCGGCCCCCATCGGGTGCCGAGCCCGCCTCGACGCTGCGCGGCGCGCCGCGGCCTGGCGACCAAGCGCGGTCCTGCGTCGAAGGGGTCGCCACTTGACAGCGACGAGAGCCGTCTCCAGAGCGCCAGACCTGCCGACGTACTTGGTCCTGTCATGCACGACGACGTCGTGGCGGCCCAGGAGCTCCTGCTCGACTGTAGCCACCACGGCGTCCCAAGCGTCGGGGGGGTTCTCTCGGCTGACGGCTGCGCGCGCCTTGGCCAGGGGCTTGCGCCAGTCCTCATCGCCGCGGCTGCAGCCCACGGGCGGCACAGGGCCGATCGGCCGTGGGCCCCTCGCCACCCGTGCCTGCATTGGAAGGTCCTGCGCGCGCATCTCCATTGCGACGGGCAGGTGCGGCTTCGTCGTGCCGTGCCCGTCGACCCGCGGCCTGCCGAGCCTCGGAGCAAGGTTTGCTGGGGCGCGCGGCCTGCAGGTGGCGTCCTCTGCCGCCGCCCGCAGCCCACGGACCCCGTCGAGCTGCTGCGCAGGAAACTTCTCGGGCTCCATGTTGAAGTCACCGCCCGCGGCCCAGTCGATCCCGGCCGCGCTGAGCTTGGCCAGGTACTTCATGAGAACGGCCACAACGTGCTGGTTGTCCGCGTGCCACCCCACACTGTCGTGGAAACACGCAGAAATGGCGACGAATCCGCCCGCTACTCCCCAATGCGCACGGGCGGCCACCAGACGCGCGGCCAGCAGCGCGGGGCTCTCCAGGAAAGGCGGGCTGGTGACTATGATGTGCGAGCGCGCAAGCACCGCCACCCCGCCAGAGGTGCCTGCCTCGCCGCGGGGCCCCTTGACAGCTGGCGCCCAGAGCCCCGCGTGCCCGTGGTCCAGCATGGCCTGCTGCAAGGCGGCCGGCCTGCCGTGGTCCCTGGCGTGGTGCTCCTGGACCAGGATGACCGAGGCCTCTGCCCTCTCGCAGATGCCCTCGACGCATGGCGCCAGGGCCCCCCCCCCGCAGTCACGTTCGCCGCGAAGATGCTGCCCTTCGCCATGGCGCCAAACCACAAGCTGGAGATCAGCAAGATCCTAATGGGGCTGGAAGCCCCCGCTGGCCAGCGCAGCGCAGCGGGCGCGCGCGGCCGACTCCTCGCCGCCTTCGAGCTCCAGGCCATGCTTCCGCAGCCGCTGTTAGAGCTGCTCCACGGACTCCTCCTTAGGATGCCAGCGCGGCACGACGGCTGAGCCGCCACCGCTTCCAGGCACTGCTGCCTCGGGCGCTGGCTGGGACTGCCCGTCCCGCCCTGCGCCACCGCGCACCTCTCCTGCGGTGCTGGCGAGGTCCTGGCTGGTGCTGGCCTGCTCCTCGGCGGGGGCCTCCTCGCGCCGCGCCCGCTTGGGCGTGCATGGCTCCGCACTGCGCGCGCCCAGCACGCCTGCCGTGCGCTTCTGCGCCTCCGCTGGCACTGGCTGCTTCTCGTTCGGGTGGGCCGAGAGCTGCTGCAGCGCGACGGCCTCCAGCTCGCCCACCGTGATGCCGATCCCGCCGATGACGTCCTCCGCCATGGCCTGGCCCGCAGGCCGCGGCGGTGGAGCCTGGGGCGCCTGCTGCTGCAGCTGCGCCAGCTCGGCCTGCAGCACCACCTGCTGCTCCAGGAGGTCTGCATGCGCCTTCTCCGCGCGCTCAACCTCCTCCACAGCCCGCCGCAAGGCCTCCTGCGCCTTCCGCTGGTTGCCCTCCGCCTTCTCCAGGTGCTCGGCGCACTGTTTGGCCTTGTTGGCGATGGCGTGCGCCCGTGCGTGGAATGGCTTGCTGGCGAAGAGCCGCGCCTTGGCCTTCTCCAGCCTGGCGAGCAGCTCCTCCCGCGGCGCCGTGGCCCAGTCCGCCGTCTGATCCTTGATGGCGTGCAGGCCCGGCTCGCGCATGTGGATCTCGGCGAACACCGCCGCGTCGCCAGCACCAGCGCCCCCGCCGTCGTCGACCTCCATGGCCTGCGCCCCGCCGAGCGGCCCGCCAGCGCAGGCGGGCCCACTGGCCTTGAGCTGCTTCTTGAGGTCCGCAAGCTCGCGCTGCGCCTGGGCCAACTGCACCGAGAGCGGCGGCCCAGCCCAGGGAAGGGCCTTGCCGCTGCCGCCTCCAGGCGCCGCACCCGACTTCGACTTAGACTTGGCCGCCGCTGGGAGCGGGACGTTCGCCCCGAAGCACGTGGCCGTGGGCAGCCGGCAGCCCTGACACTTGAGCGCCACCCCCCAATTGACGACCGCTCGCCCTCTCTCGCTGACGCAGGACTTGCACGTCCAGTCCTGCCGCACAACACCTTTGGCCCGCGGCACGCCGCCAGCCATATTGGACTCGTTGTCGCCCTCGCAGCGCCTCCAGTGCCCGCCAACGCCAGGAGCCGCCCGCGCGAAACGAAAGCTGCCGCGGACTAGCGGTATCCGTTTGGCCCCCGAGGGAACCGCACATCTTGAACCAAAACGGCTGCGGATAGGAGGAGGAGGAGGAAAAGGAGGAGGAGGAGGAGGAGGAGGAGGAGGAGGAGGAGGAGGAGGAGGAGAGGAGGAAGAGGCGGGGGAGGAGGAGGAGGAGGAGGAGGAGAGGAGGAGGATGAGGAGGGGGAGGAGGAGGAGGGAGGAGGAGGAGGAGGAGGAGGAGGAGGAGGAGGAGGAGGAGGAGGAGGAGGAGGAGGAGGAGGAGGAGGAGGAGGAGGAGGAGGGAGGAGGAGGAAGAGGAGCAGGAGGAGGAGGAGGAGGAGAAGAGGAGGAGGGAGGAGGAGAGGGAGGAGGAGGCGGAGGAGGAGGAGGAGCAGGAGGAGGAGGAGGAGGAGGAGGAGGAGGAGGAGGAGGAGAGGAGGAGGAGGAGGAGGAGGAGGAGGAGGAGGAGGAGGAGGAGGAGGAGGAGGAGGAGGGAGGGAGGAGGAGGCGGAGGAGGAGGAAGAGGAGGAGGACGAGGAGGAGGAGGAGGAGGAGGAGGAGGAGGAGGAGGAGGAGGAGGAGGAGGAGGAGGAGGAGGAGGATCGGGATCGGGATCGGGATCGGGCCCGTGGGAGTTCGTCTGCTACCTCGAAGCACCTGCAGGCGACAGCCTACCTATGCAACAACAAGGGGAACTCTGGGGGGCGAATCGGGAACTCGCCTAACCGTCTGATGCGGCCCGTGGCTCACGACGGACGCCGCACCGCCCCTACGAGCACCCCCAGGACGGCACGCAGCCTACAGGGGGCCCGCTAGTAGTGGGGACCAGTGAGATTATGAACTACCGACGACCCTTGCCCTTCCTGCCCTTTCCCGAGCCTTTCGCCCTAGAAGGCCTCCCCCCTCTCTCTGGATATGAGGATGAGGGAGGAGGAGGATGAGGGGGTGGGGAGGGAGCTAGGCTTGCGAGCCTGACACTGTCTCTCGAACTTGTCCTGCACATCGTGGAAGAGGTCGTAGCGTGTGGCCTTGGCGGTCGCCGTCGTCGTCGTCGTCGTCGTCGTTGTCGTCGTCGTGGTCGCTCTCGATGTAGTCTTCATCGTCGCTTTCGTCGTCGTGGACGCGAAAGCCCAGCGGTGGTGTCGGGGGCTGTGCGGAGACGAGGCGCTGCAAGCGGCTGATTTTGTAGCTTTCTGAACACATGCATGCGCGAACACCAAAAACTGAGGATCAACGGTGCATACGGGAAACTTGAAATTGCAGCAAGCGGCACAAACTGGATATCCCACCAACTTTGATCGCGGGGATTCTGGAATGATTGCCCCATGACCCCATGCGAAACCGTGGAGCATAGAATTTCCAGCCACCCATGACTCCTATCACCCTCGCAAGCTCCTACTTCTCCTTCCCCTTCTCCTTCTTCTTCTTCTTCTTCTTCTTCTTCTTCTTCTTCTTCTTCTACCACCCTCACGAACTCCTACTTTTCCCTGCCCGGTATCCATATTGCCAAGATAGCGTTGTTACAACATGCCAGGGAGGGGGGCTTGGATTCCAAGGGTGTCCACTGCACCTCCGACTGAACAACAAATCAGATCGCGGCGGGGCAGATTCCAGCCCCTCTGGTGGCAGCTTGGGGCTCGGGAGCCCACTGCATGAATCTGTCGTAACCGGAACGGAAGGCCTCCCGAGCGCGCTCTCCGTGTGAATATACCCAGAAACTTGCCTGGGCAGAGAGTGTGTTTCACCTGGAAGTCCAAAGCATCGAGAACGTACCTTCTTAACAAGGAGCAGTCGCCGGAATCCGCACACGGGAGCGTGGGAAGATGCTCGCGCTCCACTCCTCCTCCTCCTCCGACGGTGGAACGTATAGGAATCGGACGAGGGGCCAGAGGACACAGGACACATCCTGATAGCTTCGGGTGTTCCGAAAGCAACGTCAGAAGCACAAGCCATCATCACTAAACCGAACATGCACACGTTAAATGCTACCTTCAACTCCGCAAGCAATGCCAACACTAGGTCTTTGACGATTCGCGCAAAACCACCCTGCCCCAAAGGGGCGGAACCGTGGCCACATACGAATGCTTACACACCATAATGTGTCGTGCTGTGCTCCCTTTTTGCGCCACAATCGTGATCCGTTGCGCTTTCTCGGCTTCGCACTCTCGATATTTTCCCAAGCGCCGCGCTGAAAGCTGGCGCATGGATTCTGTACCTGTGCCACGAAACCTGTGCTTATTTGCCCTTTCTGGAGCAATGCTTTCACTGAGGGGCTCTCTCTTGTGTGCCGACAAGAGGAGGAGGAGGAGGGGGATGATGATGATGATGATGATGATGAGGAGGAGGAGGAGGAGGAGGAGGAGGAGGAGGAGGAGGAGGGGCAGGAGGAGGGGGAGGAGGAGGAGGAGGAGGAGGAGGAGGAGGAGGAGGAGGAGGAGCTGGCCCTGTGCTGCAGGGCCAGCCCTTGGTACTTGGCCCTCTGCGGCTTTGGCTCCCGCCCTCCTGGCCTCGCCCTGCTGGGTCGGCCGTTAGCCCTTGGCCTCCCAAGGGTTGACCCCGACGGCTCGTCCTCCGATGGCTTGCCTATGGCTTCCCCACGGCCTCCCGCCCTGCTAGCCCGATCTCTCTGGGTCGGCCGGGGGCGCTTGGATTCCTGTGGCCTCCGGCTCGGCCTGCACACTCTCTCGGCGTCGCGGCCATGCGCGCAACTACGCGGCGGAGGCAGTCGGAGGCTTCCACACACACATTCACATGGGGTTGCACACTTGTTGCACGAATGAGCTGTCTGGGGCCCACGCGCTAAGGGCATCTCATGCGGCCGAAACGTATGAGACCCCGCTGCGTATGCAATCTTCATTTGTAGGGCGGCGTAAGCAACATCACACAAAAGTAAGAGGCCCTAGTACACCAGAGCCCCTTACGCAAAGGCGGCTGTGAGCCGAGAAGTGTTGGGCGTCTGCATCGAATGTGTGTGCGTTCTGGGCCGTCGTGGGAGAGTGCTGCTCGGCGGCCAGTGCCAAGCCCCTGGCCATGATTGCGGTGAACGCGATGCAGAAGAAGAGCATCACCCAAATGAACGTCACCCAGATCGTCGCGATGCGGATGACGTCCGAGCCGTGGTCGCTGTGAGATGGGGAAGAGATATGCAGGGCAGGCCGAGGAAGAGGAGGAGGATGAGAAAGTGGAGGGATACGGGCCTCGAACCGCCGAAACGGAAGGGTCACAGGAGCAAGAGCCAGGACGCGAGGATGCGGAACAGCCACTGCGGCACCAGAGTAAGACCTGGCAAGCGACAGGGGACAAAGGGGGGGCGAGAGGGCGTGTGTGAGATGACTGGTTGTCCCCAGAGGGGGGTGCGGCGCACGAGCTCGCCAACGCACCTCCAGGGGCGCAGGAGCCTCCAAATCCCCCCCCGGGGGGCGTGCCTTCGGAGATGGCCCAAGAAGGGCTCCAAAAAGGCCGAAGCGGCCTCGAGAACACTGGAGATGACCTCAAGACGGCCCAAGAGGGCCACAATGTGCAAACAGCATGGATTTGAGTCGAAATATCATGTCTTGGTGTTGCTGGACATACGCACACATAGTGCCACACAAAATCCCATCAGGCCTCGCAAACACCATCTCTCCCCCAGAGTCTCCCCCGAATCTGCCCCCCGAGATCGCCAGCAGGGCCCCCCAGATGCTCCAAGAAGGCTTCACGAGGCCTTCCAAAACCATCCCGAAGGACCCCCGAGAGACCCCAAGAGGCCTCTAAGCGGCCCCTTGCCCACGACCCAAGCACGGCGGCGGGAGGGGTCGAAGTCGCCACCGTGCCTCGAGGCACGAATTAGAGTGTCCTCAGGTCCCTTCGAAATCTCTGTGCTGAGTGTGGTACGTACTTCATGGGTGCATGTGCGTTAAACACCCGTAGATTAGGTTTGACATGATTTCGCATGCCCGCTTCCAGTTTTGCAGAGCAGCCGCGATAGCCACCGAGACCCCCAAATCTCACCCGCAGACTGTCTCAACGCCTCCAGGAGGGGACCCCACGGAGGGCGCCGAGAGGCGCCCACGAGGGGGAGCTCGAAGCCTCCGCCCCAGGATTGATGGCCCCCGATGCCGCCTCGGGAAGTCCCCGGGAGGCACCGAAGAGGCCTCTAAGAGGCCCCCCAAGGGATCTCCAAAGCATCTTCGCATGGTGGCGGGATGTGTTGAAGGCCAAAAGATAAACAACCTGGCTGCTATATTATAACTACACCTGCAAACCGCTTCATCAATCGTGCGATTTGCAAGTACCGCTCAACCACTCAGATAACCTTGGGTAACTTGATTGCTGCGACGGTGTAAGTATGTGAAACTGTGCTCGAACAATTGTGAAACCTGCTGGAAGGCCCGTTTCTTATTCTACATACTGTACCAGATGAGGAAAGAGGGACGTGAAGAATTTGAACTGGGGGCGGGAAAACAAATAACAAGCGAGGATATGATGGGTTTGTAAAGCAATCCTGACGAAGATGATGGTGATGCTGATGGCGAGGACGAGGATGAGGGGGATGAGGAAGAGGATGATGAATACGAGAACGAGGATGGCGGGAAAATGAGAGGAATGAGGAGGAGGAGGAGGACGTAGAGGGAGGAGGAGGAGGAGGAGGAGGAGGAGGAGGAGGAGGAGGAGGAGGAGGAGGAGGAGGAGGAGGAGGAGGGGAGGAGGAGGAGGAGGAGGAGGAGGAGGAGGAGGAGGAGAAAGGAGGGGGGAGGAGGAAGAAGGGGGAGGAGGAAGAAGGGGAGGAGCGGGAGGAAGAAGACGCGGAGGAGGTGGCGGTGGGAGGCTCCCCGTGCCGCCGCCGTCTCCTGGAGCTCCAGAAGGACTTGTCGCTCCCCCGCCAGTAGATGCCCCAGGCGGCCAGCGTGCCCTGGACGATGGACATGATGTACAGTGGCGCGGAGATCATGTACGACTGAGGGGCGCGAGTCCCGGGTCCCCGCCCTCTCGGGGGCGGCACAGAGGGGGGTGTCCAAGAGGGGGGGGTGCAAATCATGACCGGCGGCATGTGCGCGGCCCAGCGGGGGGGCCAGGGACGTAATGAAAAAAGAAGAGGCGCCATGAAATCTGGCGAAATATCATGGCCCCCGCCATGATGTCCACCCCCCCCCTAGTCATCACCCCCCTCTTTTCCGTCCCCGCCCTCCTGCGTCGCGAGCAACTCGAGGCAGCACATCATCCCTCGGTTGGAATATCTGTCGCCCGCTTCGGGCCCCGGGACCGTCAGAGAGCCCAGCCCCGGGGAAGCAAATCGAGAGGTCCGGGTCCGCGTCACGGAAATTCGTCTGGGCTTGGCTTGGCCTCCGAAACAGAGATCCGCCGCAAGGCATTCAGCACGAAGTGGAGTGCCCCAAAGCACACAACTGTGATGACAATTACAAATTTCAAGGATTATGAAGGGGCCCTGGTACCAGGTTTGACGGAATTCTTGGGCGTTCCCAGGATTCCTCTGACTTCTGTCGAAGCCATGGGCCTGAAAAACGGGCCAATCAAGGTCCCACGAGGGCCTCATGATGGTCTAAGAGGGCTCCGATACGGCCAAGCAGCGTTCCGAGACGCCCCAATAGGACCTCAAGGCCCCAAGACACCCCAAAAGAACCCCGAGAGGACCCCCAATGTTGACCCCTAAGAAACGCAACTCATTGTTTGTCACTTGGTTTTGTGAGGTCTTACGCGTTCTTGCTTTTTCGGAATTTCCATCGCTCTCAGACGGCCCAAGAGGCCGGCCACAAAGATCGCCCCAAGACGGCCCCAAAGCGGGCCCCAAGACGGTCCAAGAGGGCCTCCTAAACGGCCCAAGAAGGGGAACACGAACTGGCACTTTGAGCTCTCTTTCCCAAGATGACCCCCGAAACCCACCTCTGGTTCACGACCTGGGCACGGTGGCGGGATGAGCCGAAGGCCACTAGATCCGCCGCCCCCTGCTTGCAGGGGTGCACGGCGTGCTGGACGAGCTGTTAGGTTTTGGTTTTGGTTCTTTTTCCAAAAGAACTCCCCAGTGGGCTCCGGCAGAACCCGCCACCGTGCGCAAAAACGGCCGTTTCGCTCGGGACATCCTCAACAAATCGCGAAGATGGCCCAAGATGGCCTCCAAGTCCGCCCGAGATGGTCCAAGACGGCCTCCAAAACGGCCCAAGAGAGTCCAAGACGGCCCAAGACGGCCCAAGAGGCCCCCCAGAGGCCTCCCAGACGGCCCAAGAGGCCTCCAAGAGGTCCTCCAGGAGAGTCCGAAGAGGGCAAAATCATTGATTTTCCCTTGGTTTTTGAAGGATTTTGGCATTTGCGCCTTTTCGGCTCTCCGACGGCTCAAGACGGCCCAAGAAGCCCCCAAGATCGCCCAAGAGGCCCCCAAGAGAGCCCCCTGATGGCCCAAGTGGCCTCCAAGATGGCCCCTAGAGAGGGCCCAAGAGGCCTCCAACACGCCCAAGATGGCCTCCAAGACGCCCAAGATGGCCTCCAAGACGGCCCTGGAGCGCCCCAAGAGGGTCCCCCGTTGGCCCAGACAGGCCCCCAAAACGGCTCCCGACGGCGTCAGACGTGCCAGGAACCCACCAAGATGGCCGAAGTTGGCTCGAAGCTGGCCCAAAAGGGCCCAAGAGGCCCCCAAGAGGGCCTCCAGGAAGGCCAAAAGATGCCAAAATCACTGATTTTCCAAGGTTTTTGATGGATTTGGGCATTTCCCTTCTTTCGGCCTTCCGACGGCCCGAGACGGCCCAAGAGCCCCCAAAGATCGCCGAAAGATCGCCCAAGAGGCCTCCAAGACGACGACGATGACCATCAAGACGCCCACGTGTTCCCCGAAGGCTTTCCAAACCGATTCGGGGAACACATGGTCCGATGGCTTGGCAGGTCTGGCCTCAACGTTCGGCCACATAGGCGCTTCCACAAAGGCAGGGGGCGGCGGTGATTCGCCGTAGGCGTCTTCGATCCGCCGCCCCCTGCTTGCAGGGGTGCACGGCGTGCTGGATGTTTCAGGTTTTGGTTTTGGTTCTTTTTCTAAAAGAACTCCCCAATGGGCTTCGGCCCGTCCCGCCGGCCACCCGTAATTTTCCCAAAATCCGTCTGTCAATGCCTTTGTTGCCCCAACTTGGCCCAAGATGGCCTCCAAGACGGCCAAGATGGCCCAAGATGGCCTCCAAGATGCCTCCCAGACGGCCAAGATGGCCTCCAAGACGGGTAAGATGGCTCCAAGATGCCTCCAAGACGGCCCAAGATGCCCTCCAAGACGGCCAAGATGGCCCCAAGATGCCTCCAAGATGGCCCAAGAGGCCTCCAAGACGTTCTCCAGGAGAGCCCGAAGAGGCCAAAATCATTGGTTTTCCTTAGGTTTTTGAAAGTTTTTTGCGTTTTCTTCTTTTCGGCCTTCCGACGGCCCAAGAGGCCCCCAAGATCGCCCAAGAGGCCTCCAAGAAGGCCCTATGACGGCCCAAGGGCCCCCCAAGACGGCCCCAAGAGCGCCCCAAGACGGCCCAAGAGGCCTCCAAGACGCCCAACATGGCCTCCAAGACGGCCCTGAAGCGCCCCAAGAGGGCCCCAAGACGGCCCAGAGAGGCCCCCAAGACGGCTCCAGACGGCGTCAGACGGACCAGGAACGCCCTAAGACGGCCAAAGAGACCCCCAGGAAGCCCCCAAAGGCCCCCAAGAGGCCCAAGGAGGCCCCCAAGATGCCTCCAAGAGGCCTCGAAGAGGCCCCCAAGAAGCCCCCAACAGACCCCAAGGGTGCCCCAAGAGACTCCTAACAACCCTCATCCTCCTACTCTATTTCTTCCTCTTCCTCTTCCTGTTCATAATCATTCTCTCCCATGTGTTCCCCGAAAGCTTTCCAAACCGACTCGGGGAACTCATGGTCCGATAGCTTGGCCAAGCTCTAGTCCAACTTTCGGCCACATCGGCGTTTCCAAAAAGGCAGGGGGCGGCGGTGATTCGCCGTAGGCGTCTTCGATATTCGTCTCCTCCTCCTTCTCGTGCTCATCCCCAATGGCTGCTCCTGATAACTAAACGCCCCCTCCTCACTCGACCGACCACCGACCAAGAACAACGAGCCCCCCTCATCACCCCTGGAGAAACACAACAATGCAACATGCACGTGGTGACAACATCTGCATCATGAGCGGGCGCCCCGTGAGCATTCTACATTGGCTCCTTGGGAGTGATGGCGGGTGTGTGATCATAATTATCCGATGTACGCTGGCCCGCAGCCACCGCAAAACAACCGATGTAAACTGAACGACCATGCGCACACCGTACACCAAGCTGATCTCCCTGCCGCTGCTTCGCAGTGATTCTTGCTTGTCAAGCACGGTGAGGGCGTCGTGTCGACATATTGCCCGATGTGGGCTTCCACGTGCGTTGGCGCACCTGGCGTGCCTTGCGCGCGTCGCGCATCTGACGCACCTGGCGCGACTGGAGCTTGTGGCATAGTTGACGCACGTGGCAAACTCGGGGGCGTCCAAGACGGGGGCGTCCAAGCGGGGGGGCGCAAATCATGGCCGTCGGCATGTGCGCGGCCAAGGGGGGGGTGCCGGGGGCGTAATGAAATAAGAAGAGGCAGCATGACATCTGAGGAAATATCATGGCCCACACCATGATATTGAAAGGATCACCCTGTAATTGAAAATGGGGTGTGTCCTTGCAGAACCCCCCCTCCCCCCTGTCAAAGTAGGGGTGAGATTTTCGACCCCCCCACCCGTCCCTCCCTCAAGGGGGGGGGTCCGAACCCCCCCGTCTCCCCCCCTTGAAGGGGAAGGGGGGGTTCCAGATCCCCCCACCTCCCCCCCTTGGCGCTGGAAAAGGGGGGGGGTTCGAACCTTTCCCCCTGGGCCGGGGAGGGGGCCTCTCCCGCAGGGGGGGGGTGTCTGGCCTCGGGATAGTGAATAGTGAATATTGAATAGAGAGTAGGGAATGGTGAACAGTGAGTAGATAGTAGCGAGTAGTGAGGAATGGGTAGTGAGTAGTAAATACTGCGCAGCGAGAAGTGGGTAGTGGGTCGTGGGTAGTTTTTGGTCCCGAAGAAATGAAAGCCGCAAGATGGACAGGATAGAACAGGCGCTAAGTAGTGCACAGTCTGCTCAGCTCCGAAGCCGGTCGCCGGCCAAAGAATAAGTTCTGCCTTGGTGGCGGGCCTGCTTCAAGAGCTCACGATCTTTCTGCTCGGCACGCTCACGCTCTTGGAGAGGGGCCTTGGGGTAATCCCCGTTCAAGATCGTAACACCGCGTTGCGTCTGATACAAGTGTTTCAAAAGGTGCAGACGGCTGCTGTACGAGTGTTTGCACACGGGGCAGGTGGCTGTATCGCCTATGTGCTCGTTGTATGCTTTGCGCTTCTTGTGGGCCGCTGTCTGATGGGAGGAGAGCTCTCGGTACGTCGGGAAGGACGCACCGCAGACATCACATGCATGCGACCTCAACGGAGCGGGGCCGCACTTTTCGGGAGGGTCTGCAACAGACTCTACAAAAAAACAGCGAGTAGTGGGTGGTGAGTAGTGAGTAGCGAGTAGTGGGTAGTGAGTAGCGAATAGTGCATAGTGAGTTGCGAGTAGGGCATTGTGAGCAGTGAGTAGTGAGGAGGGGGTAGTCAGTAGTGAATAATGCGTAGGGAGTAGTGAGTAGCGATAGTGAGTAGTGAGAAGTGAGAAACGAGCAGTAAGTAGTGGGTAGTGCGTAGGGAGTAGCGAGTAGTGACTAGTGAATGGTGAGTAGTGAGTACTGAGTAGTGACTTGTGACTAATGATTCGTGACTAGTGAGTAGGGGCTAAGGAACAATGAATCGTGAATCGTGAATAGTGCGTAGTGAATATTGCGTATCGGGTAGCGAATAGCGAATAGGGAGTAGCGAACAGTGAGTAGTGAACAGTGAGTACTGTGTAAGGAGTGGGTGTCGCGAGTAGCGAGCAGCGGGTAGTGAGTAGTGAGTTG